ATAAACACATTTCATTACACCAAATACACAAAATAATGTTATTTTTAGCAACATCATATGACCCCTTTAAATTCGTGATTTCAAATTATGCTGCGCTTTATGCATTTGCCCACTGTCATATGCATGTCATTTTCACTGTGTGCTGTATGTAAAATGAGTGTTACCTTGGCTTTATTTGAAAAAATATGATGCCCAATGCACACAAACTTCCCAGAATACTGAGTGCTCTGTTGGTTACAGTTTACTTCCTTTTTAATTATATTTATATTAAATATTTATTTGTGAAAAATACTTTGTCTTAAGTATAAGTATGTTTATTTTAAAAATTTTTTTTTTAATCCATTTTCAAATGATTTAAAATTTCTTAAATATTAATTAAAATAAATACAATTATATCGGCCACCGGCCACCCTGCTTTCCAAGATATCGGCATCGGTTTCGGCTGTCAAAAAACCAATATCGGTCGACCACTAATTAGTTCTCCCTATAGAAACATGAGGTTTGTGCCTATAATATTTTAAAACTAATAATTTGTAGATCAGTGTACCTCATTCATGGAAAGTTTCAGGGATGTATAATTTTGTAATGCAGTTGTCTACTTTCCGCTGTTATATCAGGTTTCATTTTTATGTCCTTTCACTTTATTATGTCCTTTCACTTTTCTGTTTTTTTTACGAGTTACCGACAAATGTACTGTTTTTACTTTTGTTTCAGAGTTGATTGAAGATAATGAGGAGAAAGAAGAATTGAGTGAATCTGAGGAGAAAAATCATGTCATAAGTGGAGAAAAACCCAAACCGAAAGATTTAAAGAAAAGAAGAGCCAAGAAATCTTTCACCTGCACTCAGTGTGGAAAGAGTTTCACATACAAACATCATCTTGAGCTTCACATGAGAGTTCATTCTGGAGAGAAACTGTACACTTGTGATCAGTGCGGGAAGAGTTTCACACAATCATCACACCTTAAGGTACACATGAACATCCACACTAGAGAGAAACTGTACACATGTGATCAATGCGGGAAAACATTTTTGTGGGCTTCAGTCCTGAAGCAGCATCTGAGAGTTCATACAAAGGAGAAGCCACATTCATGTTATTTGTGTGGAAAGAGTTTTTCACTTCTACAACATTTGAAAATACATCAGAAAATACATACTGGTGTGAGAGACTACATGTGCTTTGACTGTGAGAAGACTTTTACTACAGCAAAGTGTTTAAAACTTCATCAGAGGATCCACACTGGAGAGAAACCTTACAAGTGTTCACACTGTGACAAGAGATTCAGAGAATCAGGACATCTGAAAACACACGAGATGATCCACACTGGAGAGAAACCGTACACATGTGATCAGTGCGGGAAGAGTTTCACAATAAAAGGATACATTAAGACACACATGAGAGTTCATACTGGAGTGAAACCATTCACTTGTGATCAATGTGGAAAGAGTTACTCACACTCATCAGCCCTTAAGTTACACATGAACATCCACACTAGAGAGAAACCATACACATGTGATCAATGTGACAAAACATTTTTGAGAGCTTCATACCTGAAGCAGCACCTGACAGTTCATACAAAGGAGAAGCCACATTCATGTTATTTCTGTGGAAAGAGTTTTTCACGTCTACAAAGTTTGAAAGAACATCAGAAAATTCATACTGGTGTGAGAGAGTACATGTGCTTTGAGTGTGAAAAGACTTTTACTTCAGCGAGCAGTTTAAAACTGCATGAGAGGATTCACACTGGAGAAAAACCCATACAAAAAACATTCACAGTAAATAGATCATCTTCAGATCCAGCATTTTCAGGTCTGATTCGCGTCATCACCAAATGTGACACAATAATGCATCAAGCAGTGAAATATCAGCTGGATAAATCTGTCCGTAAAAGTGTATGTAACCCCTCTCTCCCGGATCCTCACCGCCACACCTCGTTCTTGTTCCGAGTGGGTTTCGAACCCGGGTCTCCAGCATGGGAGGCAGACGCACTAACAAGGAGGCTAAAGATTGTAGCCACTAGCGCATCTCTTGAGATCAGGGGAGTGAGGTTTACCTGCACAGCACCTACTCGCTGGCCTCCGTTACACTCTCCCCCCTAAGCCTCACTCCCATCCGGGTCACGGCACCAATGTAACGGGTCTCAAACCCGGGTCTCCGGCATGGGAGGCGGACACACTAACAAGGAGGCAATATGACAAAGACATTAAATAGATAGATACATTTAGATAAAAAACATTATCTAAAGTTTTCACAGTTAATATTCAAAACTATTAGATTCAACTCAAAGATGGAGTTTCTCCCCAAAGAACAATGTCAAAAAGTTTTATTCCTGTATATAATTTTGCTTCATGATATAAATGTTATCATTGTGCTTTCTTATTGGTTTCATATTATGTTCAGTTGTTTCATATTATGTTCAGTATGTTTAATAAGCAGGATTGTAAGAATATTAAAACCTTACAGATAACCATCCCTACTTGTAAGTCAGTAGGAGAGAGATCCAGCTCATTAGTTTTCACTTTGACTTAGCTTGTTTTTGTTTTTGCTGATTAAATGCTGATTAAATGTAATTATTGATTAAAGGTTATCTTTTTTATTAATACATTGTTATCTTTACTTTTTATATTTTATCAACAACGTTTATTGTCTGCTGATTGTATTTGAATCAGGAAAAAGTAATTGTTATAAAGTAAATATCTAATATAAATAAAATATAAATTTTAATAAAACATCTAAAAGCTATGAAGTACCTGTATCGTAATTGCTTTTTGGGCTTTTAAATTTCTCAATAAAGCTTTTATTTGCCTAATAAACTATATTTTACTCCACACATGACTGAGATTGAATGAGTTTGTCTACATTAGCAACCCCCTTTGTCTAAAGGATTCCAATAAGAAAATTGTACAGTACAATTGGAATTTCTATCATATTTTGGAACCGTTCCTATAGGATTCTGATAGGAATAGCCTTATAGGACAAGACATAAATATCCTGTAGGATCATTCCTATAGGATTTTAATGGGATCCAATTGGGTGACTGTTCATGTCTATATGGGGATACTTTTTTTTTATTCTAAAGGTGCACTTTTCCACTGTATTTGTTTTACTAACAAATAGTACTTGCAGTTTGCTTAAACTCACCCTGATGTAGACATTGTTCATTGTATGTTGCACAACCTGCAGTAACATTGTAAACAACATGGGAGGTGATTTGTGCAGCACACAGCATTAGTGCAAATATTTCCAAGGCACTGATAATGGATTGATGACACACACACACACACACACACACACACACAGACACAGAGTATGTAGCACTTGCGTCCTCCAATGCAAATATCCACTGGAGCAGTTCTAGACTCGAAAGGAGTGGGGAGGAAGATATAAAATTTCATGCAATAAATGTAAAGTTCAGTTTGTGTGTAATGTAAAAAGAGAGAAAGAAAAAAACAGATCCAATTAAATGAAGGGAAAACTGGGAAAAACTATGAAAAATGTTGTATCCAATATATTTCAAAGCAGTCACTAATGCTCTGTCAGTTGACCATATGCACGATTACTTCCTGGGTTTGTCAAAATAGAGCTGTGCATTAGGTGATTCAGACTAAATTCAGAGTAGCAAAACTACAACAGTAACAAGTCTGTGTTGACTGAATATATTTAGCAGCTTTTACAGTTAAAGAGAAAACTTAAAAAATGCAGGTACTAAATTAAATCTAAAAATATTTAATTGTTATACCATTATTAATGAACTTATTTCATTTGTAGTTTACTAGTTAAGTATTTAAATAATTCTCCCTTATATGCTGTTAGTGTCGGGGCATATTTATTTACATTACATTACATTTACATTTAGTCATTTAGCAGACGCTTTTATCCAAAGCGACTTACAAATGAGGACAATGGAAGCAATCAAAATCAACAAAAGAGCAATGATATACAAGTGCTATAACAAGTCTCAGTTAGCTTAACGCAGTACATGTAGCAAGGGTTTTTAAAATAATATAATAAATAAAAACAAAACAGATATAATAGAAAAAGAATGGAGCAAGCTAGTGTGAGGTATTTTTGCTTATTTAATTGTATAATGAAAAGAAAACAGATAGAATACAAAAAGATTAGTATCTTTTTAGTAGCAAGTGTTATTTTTTTTTAAAGGAAACAAGCAGCAAATGAATAGAGTGCAAGTCTAAAAGGGACAAGTGTTATTTATTTTCTTTTTTTAAGAATAGAATTAGAATAGAGAGTGCTAGAGTTAAGAGATAAAGATGGATAAATATTAATAAATACTATAATGGTATATAAATAATAATAAAATAACACTGATTTACACTTATTTGCTAAATTGGGAGTGTTACCAAAATTATAAATTAATTAATTTAAAGCAGATGTTTTTAACCTTTACAGAGCTAGGTACTCCTCACTAGAGCTGCACGATTCTGGATAAACTGAGAATCATGATCATCAAATAGAGATCATGATTCTCTCACGATTCTGAACGAAGTAATGAATTTAGGTAAAGGGGTGCAGAGCCAGTGGTGGTTGTTACGTTCTGTGAGTGCTGCATGTATTTTTTTTCTTTTCTCATTCTCTTTTTGCAGCCCTGCTGTCTCTTGCTCCCTGTCTTTCATTCACAGGTCCTTGCTGATTGGATGATATACCTGTCAACCATCATTAGGGCGTCTTCCTTCATGGACCAATCCGGTGCCTCCCTGCTGGTTTTAAAATCCTTCCGGCGTGCTCTGGGAGGAGTGTCATTGTGTGTGCTCTGGGTTTGTTGTTTTGTCTGAGCTGTGTTTTGATTGTTTTGATTGTTGTTGTTTTTTTTGTGCAAACTTAACACTTCTACTACCATGTCACTGTTCAAACCAGTTTACGGTTCCTTATGGGGAAAAGGGACAGGTAAGCAAGTCGCGACATACATTCTGCCCGTAGTTTGTCAGTGTTAAATACACTAGGTAATGAGTGTGTGCCATCCTCTGTATTTGTTTGGTTTTCTTACTTAGTGTAGCATAATTATGGCATCGTATACACCGAAGATTTCGGTTTCTTTTCTACATTTTATTTTCTTGTTAGTTAGGTTAGTGGGTTCCTATTTTTCCTCTTTAGCTAGGTTGGGGAGTTTGGTTTTGTTTATTTCTTTGTTTTGGCACCGCTCTAGTTCCATTTCTCCTAATTAAAATGTTATCATTTTCTTTATTAGTCTTTATTTCTTTTTCCTTGTGCATTGTAAATAGCTCACACACTCTGCGTTGTGGCTCTGGATTCTGGTTAATAAATGAATTAATGCTATTCTAAAGGTTTCCTTGGTTAATTCTGCTTATCCTTTTTACCCAGTAGTAGACAACAAATTTAAGTGTTGCGCTCTATTCCCTAGATCCTTTTAAGGGTCGTAACATTTAATGGGGGCTCGTCCGGGATCTATTTTTCTTATTATATCCCGGTATGTTGATTATTGCTGGGGTGAATGGTAGAATGACTTTGGATTTAGTAATTCGTTGGCATTGCTTTTGGGTCATGGCTGGTTATTCGTGTCTCTGTGGTTAGTTTGTTAGTTTTTATTACTATCGTAGTTAGGATGGCTGATTTTAATTTAGGAATGTTCGTTAATGCACCGTCTGTTGAACAGCTTAATAAATGTCGAAAAGACGATCTAATGTGTATCGCTACCCATTATCAAATTGCGGTTACGAAGCAACAGCTTAAAAGAGAGATAAAGAGTGCTGTCTTACAAAGGTTGGGGGAATTAGGTGTACTCGTGCTGCCTGCAGTAACCGAGAATGTGTGCACGCCGTTGTTGGGTGAGGAGGAGCAGCGTAGGGCTGCTGAGGTGAAGGGTTCTGAAGCCAAAGCTGCCCTGCCACCCTTTGAACTTTTTTCTCCGGTCTCTATTGGGTCTGGGAGGTGATGCACGGCTTAAAGTCCGTTTGGCGTTAGAAGCCTATAGACAGCGATTTAGGAATCACAAAAAAACTTCTAGTCAGACGTTTGTTGAATTTGCCAGATAAAAGGGCATTTTATTTGACAAGTGGTGCATGTTGAGTACAATCACAGATTTTAAGGCACTGCGGGAGTTAATTATTTTGGAGGAATTCAAAAGCTGTATACCTGAGCGTATTGTTGTTTATCTAAATAAGTGTTTCTCAACCCTGGTCCTGAGCGCCCCCCAACACTGCACATTTTGTATGTCTCCCTTATCTGACACCCATTTCAGGTCCTGGAGTTTCTTTTAATGAGCTAATGAGTTGAATCAGGTGTGTTTGATTAGGGAGACACACAAAATGTGCAGTGCTGGGGGGCGCCAAGGACCAGGGTTTAGAAACACTGATCTAAATGAATAGAAGGTGGCTTCTTAGTCGCAAGCTTCTGTTTGTGCAGATGAGTTTGCATTGACGCATAAAAATGTGTTTATTCTCGCCCGTTCTGATAAATCTGCGCCTGTTTCAATGAGCACAACCAGCCAATCACGACCTAAACCCAATGCTTTGAAGTCAAAAGAGGACAGAGAATGCTTTTATTGTCATAAACCGGGCCATTTAATTGCTGACTGTCTTGCGTTGAAGCGAAAACAGCCGAGTTCTGCACCTAAGAGTGTTGGATTTGTGAAAACTGTTGATACTGTTGAAGTTGGGGTTTGTGATAAGCCAGAGTCTAGTTATGCACCTTTTATGAAGGAAGGGTTAATTTCTGTTACTGGGGATCCTGCAGAGCAGGTGAAGATTAAAATTCTATGTGACACTGGCACAACGCAATCTTTTGTGGTTGTGGGAGTTCTGCCATTTTCTGAAAAGACTTCCTGTTGCAGTAGTGTGTTGGTACAGGCATTGAGATGGGCATGATCAAGGTACCCTTGCATAAGATATATTTGTAGTCGGTATTGTGTACGGGATTTGTGCAGGTAGCTGTTCGTGAATGTTTGCCCGTGAGAGGAGTGGAGTTTATTCTTGGCAATGATCTGGCTGGTGAGAAGGTGTTTCCTGTGTTAAAGGTTATCGACAATCCCTTATTGTCAGATCAGTCTGATGAGTTGGCAGAGACACATCCTGAAGTTTTTCCTGTCTGTGCTGTTACGTGGGCTCAAGCACGTAAAAAGGATGATTTCGATCTAACCTCGTCTTTTATTGCGCCTATGTT